AGCCTAAGATGTTTACATCTTGTTGCTATTTGATGGTTCTTACCCATTTTATGGAGGTGAACACTATGGAGAGCTGGTTTTTCTAGCTTAAAATGTATAAGCAATAAGAAGGCTTGACCACAGGCCAATGGCATACTAGGATTTTGTGAAAAGTGTCTTATGTGCTTATTTTTCTCCTGGTCATGAATTAGACAACTAAAGGGTTGATGCCAGGATCAGATCAAACAAGCAAACAGATTTTGTCAAATCTCCCACAGAGCCTTCAGATATGATGAATTAGCAATCTTTTGATGGGAAAGGATGCCATGGTTATCATGCCGCTCATGAGTTAGAATACGTAAAGCAGTAATAAATAGAAACAGTAAAAGGATATAAGACATTAGAACTATATATGTTCACCAAAAATATAAAAATTAATGACCTGGTTTCATATCCAGAAGATATCTAAATAATAGTGCAGCTATACAAATTGAACCTATATACAAGAAAATATGATAAGCATGTTTAGGTAGCTTGATTGACACTCAGTTGTTTGCACAACAGAAAAATATAGGAAGTGCAAAGGGTTCAGCTGCAACACTGTCTCATTAAGAACCTCAAGTTGTTAAATAGATTCTATCCAGATCTGGTGACACGCACATTTCATTCCCAGACTGCAATGCACAATTTACTAGGTGGATTCATGAAAATTGGAGAAAATCAGTATCATAAGGATATTCCCTACGCACAGAGCATAAATCTCTCTATATCAAAAAAGCCATACTGCCTACCACCTGTGTGCTTTTGGGGAACAAAATAACCCAGATAATTTTACCCTTCACAAATTTGAAAATTGCATTTAGTTATACGTGGAACAAAGTTCTCCTGTCACTTTACACGTGTCAAGTACCTTTTCTTTACTATTCTATCAAAGAAGAAGAACTCACCCTTTGCTAAATCCTATCTGAATGGCGACAAACTTCAGTCTTCAACACACTAAAGAATTAAATCACTCTTCACATCCTCATCGTTTTGAAAGGTTTAGAAGCATCATAAAGTACATTCACATTGAACTTTTAATATGAAACATGAAGACTCCAGGGCGTTCACAAATGTGTTTGGTTAAATGACTTCACAAATGTTTCTGGTTCAACCAAATTGTACTAACTAAAACCAAATTGTACTATCTAAAAACTTAGATTTTCTCAAGAAATATAACTTCAAGGGAAATTCACATTAGATTGATAAACTTTCCAGCTCAATTTAAGCATGAAACTTTTCGAATCTCTCTTTCACTCTTAGAATTTGTGCAGACACTAGCTTATATATTCTCCTCTACATATATCTATCCTCCCTGTCGTACATACTTCTTTACATAATCCAACAATTATATGGAGTAGGCACGTGCAATGAACATACCCGCCTCACTAATATCTCATTAAAGATGAAGCATGAACCTCCAAGGCAATGCAAGAATAGCATCACTTGATTAATGCAAACCTTATTTACCAATAGCACAAAAAACAAAAGAAAATGAATACTACCTGAATTATTTCCACTATGTTTCATCGCGACAAATGAAAGTGGAACTGAGAGAGGTTTTGGCAGCTCCAAGTCCCTGGTGTCCTTTGACTGTGACCCTGAGAAAGCTGACTCAAGATTTTCACACATCAAGTTCCTATTGTCCTTCGGCTGTGACCCTAAGGAAGCAGGCTGAAGATGTTCATTATCCAAACAACCAGAAGAAAGTTTAGCTCTTGCTGAAACATCTCCACTTTTAACCACCTTGACATATGACAGTGCAGTTGACAGAGGCTTAGGCAGCCCCAAGTCAGGGATATCCCTTGACTGCAACCCTGAAGAAGCCAATTGTTTGTGTGCCAAGTTCGTGTCCTTTGACTTTGACCCTAAAGGTGCAGGTTCAATATGTTCATGCTTTGAATAACTAAAGGGAGAGTTAGCTCTCCCGAAATTGACAACAGAACCTGCAAATGTAGTAATATGAACATCTCCAGATCAAAGCATTAAAAAATGATGTTGCTATTTAATGAAAATCATATACAGCGATGCTACAAGACAATTCTAAGCACGTACCATTAACAGAATTACAAAAATATAAATATAGAATATTATACATATGTCGAATACTAGCATCAGAAGCTAGGCGTAACAAAAATTTCCAAAGGATGACTGACATGAATATAAGAGGAATTTTGAGAGAGAATGTGTTAACTCCTACCTAGAACTTATACTAAGATATATAATCTATGTACTGTACATAAAGTCAACATGAAATAATAAGCAAAAGGTAAGTCGGGTTAAGCTAAGATGTCATAGTATAAAGAGAAGCATAGCATCATATGAAAAAAGAAAGAAGATGCTGTGATTGAATAATTGAACACATTCTAGGTAAAGATTTGAATCAGATATATCATGTATAGAAAAGATTCTGATCTATAGTGTCCAGAGAAAAAGACTGCAGTCACCTATATGGTAAGAGATGTACATAAACATATATCAGCAAGGAGAAATCACGAGTGTTTTAGACATCTAACCAACAAAGAGTTTACAAAAGAGCCACTGCTCATGGAGATTACAAACATCAAAAATGCTGGAAGCGGGACTTACGTTCTTTAAGCTTAAACCAAGCAACTTTTGCGGCATTTATCTCCGCCTGCTTTTTACTTCTTCCAACTTCTCCCATAAAACTATGACCATCAATTTCAACTGTGGAAGAGAAAACGGGCATGTGACTTGCACCACTGCTGACTGTGTTGTACTTTGGCAAGTGAAGTCCTTCCTTTGTTGCCAACTCTTGCAGCATATTCTTGTACAGAGATGAATTATCCTGCAAGATTATAATACTAAGGTATCTGTTACTTCTCTGTAATGGTCAAATACTTAAGTTAGTAGTAATGTATTTACGACTTGCCTGTGGATTTTCATCTACAGATAAAGATGAAAGAGCCACTCTAGCAGCATCATTTTCAGCCTCTTTCACTGTATTGAAGAATTGTGGACTATTGTAGGTTTGCCCATCAACTGTCACATTAGCCTTGAAGCGAGAAGCGTGAGCAAAACCCTCACGAACAGCTTCATATTTTGGCAGATCAAAATTGTTCTTTTGAGCGTAGGTATGCAGCTGACTCTTGAATGAAATTTGATTTTCTACAAGTGCTAAATAATTTTGTTCAAATAAATAATGTGAAAAGATATTTGTCAAACGACATTAAATAATTCTTTATAATAAATAATCATACTCTTCCATTTGCAGTTGCAGTTTCATATGTACTTCAAATTCATAGTAATAAGAATTTTTTGCAAGGAATGAAAATTGAGGGTTTTAGTGCAAAAAGAGCAAAAAGTAAGCGTATAACTTCTGTGCGAAACTTAAATTTAATTGTGAAAAAAACTTATAGAATACCCAATAAGGAATTTTTGTTACTGAAACAAAAACAATAACAGACATCAACTTCTTCATCTGTAATTACAATTTCGTGTAATTATCAAAATAAGTGCAAAATAGTAGAGGCACAAAAGCCATGAGGAAGGGAAATTTCAAAGAAATCAACTTTAACAAAAGAAACCCTACAGAATCCCAATTAACAACCCTTGCATGACATTTGGTTCTCTATTTTTCCCCCTTTTTTATTTTGCAAATAAACATTGTGAACGGATAATTCTAAAGAAAGAAGCAAATAATTACTCGTAACAATTTTTATTTTGCAAATAAACATTGTGAACGGATAATTCAAAAGAAAAAAGCAAATAGTTACTTGTAACAAATAATCATTTTCTTTCATTTGCAGTTGCAGTTGCAGTTGCAGCAGTTTCATATATACCTCATATATATAGTAATAATAAGTATAGAAACGAGAAAAGAAATACAACAACAAACAATCTCCTGTAAATTTATGTGATCCAAAAGAAGAAAAATAAGTGAATCTAGGACTTGTATGAAATTTAAATTCATTTTCAAACAACTTCTACAATTTAAACAAACCAACGAAGTATTTCTCTCATATTGTACGTACACAATTAAAAGAGATCAACTTTCTCCAGTGCAGTTCTCCAATTTTGTGCATGATGAAAAAGATAACAGAATAATAAGAGTAAAATCTAAAGGAAAAAACAATCCGAAAAGGAAATAAAAATGCCAATTTGACAGTACCTTCAACTACAATAGACGTATCCTCACAATTCAAAATTGCTGATAAAATTAAACCAGGGGCATTTTCGTAAAAAGAGAAACTTACCGGGGATTTGAGGGGAGGCTTTCGTAGGCGGTGGCGGGAGAGCGACGGCGAAGTGATCGACGGCGGCCTGAGCGGCCTTGTTCTGGGCCTCCTTCGACGACTTCGAGAAGTCGGGGGCGTCAAACTAACGTTGTAGTCCGGCGCGGCCCACATTCGCTGGTGGCATAGCTCCTGAAGCCTACTCTTGAACATTGAAGGATTAGGGACTAGGGCTATGGTTAGGGTTTATGGGAATTTGTTCAGAATTAGGGCTAGGGTTTCCGAGATTTTGGCTTGAGATTGACGCTGGAATTGGGAACGAGACGGGGGAGGGAGAAGAGGGACGATCAAGGGACAGGGATAAAGGAGCGAAAGGACGCTGGCCCCGCGTTTATCGTACTGTAGAAGGGTAGTATTGTAATTTCCTTGGGAAATAGGATAGTTGTTTTTCGTAGGTGTCGGTTCATAAAATGGGTGTGATTTTTTTTTTTTTTTGAGATTAATGCTGCCTTCTTAATTTTATTTTGGGAAAAATGTTTCTAGCCCCCAAAAGCCAAGTGAACGTGCTTCCTACCCCCAAGACTTGGTCAATGGGCGTTTTACCCCTAAAAATAAAGAATCTGTTCTCTGAGCCCTCAAAATACAAAATCCAAGACATTAAAACATGTGAAGACCATAATATCCTTCTCTCTCTTTCTTTTTTTATTAAAATATGATGAGGGTTATTTTATTATTTTTGTTTTTCTCTTTCTCTTTATCATGATGTACCAAGAGGATAGTTAAAATGATTGATGATGATTATTTTATTATTTTTGTTTTTTATTATTTTCGTTGTTTGTATTGGGAGGTTGTTAAAGTTACAGGTTAATTGTTAAGGTTACGAGTTAATTGTTAATGTTATGGGTCAATTATTAAGGTTATGAATCCTCTCTCTCTCTTTCTTTTTTTATTAAAATATGATGAGGATTATTTTATTATTTTTGTTTTCTCTCTCTCTCTCTTTATCATGATGTACCAAGAGGATAGTTGAAATGATTGATGAGGATTATTTTATTATTTTCGTTTTTTATTATTTTGGTTGTTTGTATTGGGAGATTGTTAAAGTTACGGGTTAATAGTTAAGGTTACGAGTTAATTGTTAATGTTACGGGTCAATTGTTAAGGTTATGAATCCTCTCTCTCTCTCTCTCTCTCTCTCTCTATCATGATGTTTCTTTGATGATATTGAAATGATTAAAGAGGATTATTATTTTATTATTTTTGTTTTTTATTCTTTTTGTATTTTTAGAATATTCGTTGTTAAGGATAATGGTTGGTTGTAAATGTTATGCATTGATTGTTAAGGTTACGGGATGGTTGTTAAGGTTAAGGGTTGTTAAGGTTATGAGTTTATTGTGTAGGTTACGGATTTGTTGTTAAGGTTATGAGTTTAATTGTTAAGGTTACGTGTTTAATTGTTAAGGTTACGGATTTAATTGTTAAGGTTACGTATTTAAAAAAATAATAAAATAATCCTCATCAATCATTTCAACTATCCTCTTGGTACATCATGATAAAGAGAGAGAGAAAACAAAAATAATAAAATAATCCCCATCATATTTTAATAAAAAGAGAAATAGAGAGAGAGAGGATTCACAACCTTAACAACAAACGGTTTAATTGTTAAGTAAACTGTAACCTTAACAATTAAACCCGTAACCTTAACAATTAAAACCGTAACCATAATAATTAAACCCCTAACCTTAACAATTAAACCTGTAACATTAACAATTAAATCGTAACATTAACAATTAATAAAACCGTAACCGTAACAATTAAACCCGTAACCTTAACAATTAAAGACGTAACCTTAACAATTAAATCCGTAACCTTAACAATTAAACACGTAACCTTAACAATTAAACTCGTAACCTTAACAACAAATCCGTAACCTCGTAACCTTAACAATTAAACACGTAACCTTAACAATTAAACTCGTAACCTTAACAACAAATCCGTAACCTACACAACAAACCCATAACCTTAACAACAAACCCTTAACCTTAACAACCAACCCGTAACCTTAACAATCAATGCATAACCTTTACAACCAACCATTATCCTTAACAACAAATATTCTAAAAATACAAAAAGAATAAAAAACAAAAAGAATAAAATAATAATCCTCTTTAATCATTTCAATATCATCAAAGAAACATCATGAGAGAGAGAGAGAGTATTCATAACCTTAACAATTGACCCGTAACATTAACAATTAACTTGTAACATTAACAATTAACCCGTAACTTTAACAACCTCCTAATACAAACAACCAAAATAATAAAAAATAAAAATAATAAAATAATCCTCATTAATTATTTCAACTATCATCTTGGTACATCATGATAGAGAAAGAGAGAAAAACAAAAATAATAAAATAACCCTCATCATATTTTAATTAAAAAAGAAAGAGAGAGAGAGAGATTGGATTCATAACCTTAACAATTGACCCGTAAAATTAACAATTAACTCGTAACCTTAACAATTAACTCATAACTTTAACAACATCCCAATACAAACAACGAAAATAATATAAAACAAAAATAATAAAATAATCCTCATCAATCATTTCAACTATCCTCTTGGTACATCAGGATAAAGAGAGAGAGAAAATAAAAATAATAAAATAATCCTCATCATATTTTAATAAAAAAAGAAAGAGAGAGAAGGGTATTATGGTCTTCACATGTTTTAATATCTTGGTTTTGTGTTTTGGGGGCTCATAGAACAGATTCTTTATTTTTAGGGGTAAAACGCCCATTGACTAAGTCTTGGGGGTGGGAAGCACGTTCACTTGGCTTTTGGGGGCTGGAAGCATTTTTCCCTTTTATTTTTTGAGGTTTGCTTTGGTGCTCCAAAATAGGCTTTTCTCAATTTTTTAAATTGACAAAAAAAAATCAGCTAAAATAAGAAATGGTACTTTAGTCTTTCAAAATTCTTTTCTAATTGCTTTCTATCCTAAAAGCAACCATTCTGTTGCTTCTTTCGTCTTGATTAATTAGCTTATAAACATAGAGATTAAGTTTTTAATTTAGTCAATAATTTACATCACATGACATAATTACTTCATCCAATTATTGTATAGAGGCGAAGAACAATGAGCATAACATAGTGTTCTATATAATTAATTTTTTTTTAAAAAGAAAAAGATAGGGGTGCCTTTATGGTGCTTCTCTTCACAAGAATAAACATAGTGTTCTATAAAATTAAACCATTCTCGCCTGCCCTGCTCCTTGTGGGCCCTGAGACTCGCTTCTATTTCGAATGCACAAAATGGAAATTGAAAGCTCACAAAAATTTGATTGAGAAGTTTTTTTTTCTTATGGAAAGTGCGGAGCGTTACATGATAACGCGGTAAAAATTATACGTGAAATATTAGTTAGTTGGAGATTTCTAACTAATCATAAATTTTGTTTCTCTCCTAAATTGTATTTTCTAAATTAACCTTTTTACTAATTGAAATTATAGTTAATTATAATTTTGGGTGTGGAACACCTCCTAACCGTCAAATCTATCTATCTAGAGATGTGAGAGCTATTTTTAAGGAATTTATTTACAGATATGTCACCGGTGCTCCAACAAATCTTCATGGAGCATCGAAGCTGTAGGCTTATTTTTTAAAATTTAAATATTGCTTACAGATTTCAATAAATCTTATATTTTTCTTATTTTTTAAAGAGAAGACTTGACATTAGTGTGTCGATAACAAAGAAAACTAATATTTACTAAGATAAATTTACGTGAGGAGGGATGGACGAGAAAAAACTAATTATATTGGTGTAAATTCACTGGATCAAGTCAGAACTCCACTAAACACGATGCACTTTCTCTAGTGTCTTCTTCAGTTCGGTTCTTTGAATTAATAGCATGCGCTACAATTTTTGAAACAAGACGGTAATAATTTTTTTTTTTCCGCAACTGTTAGGTCAATAATTTAGTAAGATATAAGACATGCATCTTTATTAAGTTAAGATTTTTATAAGTTTGTGTGAAATGCATTTGAAATTCCCTGATTAGGACATTTGTATGTATTCATTCTCCTTATTTGTATACTTGAATTTTATTTATTTATATATTTTAAAATTACAAAATCTGATTTATTAGGAGGGCATTTGAGTGTACATTACGTGAACCTGAATCCCATGCCTTTAAAAGAAAACGTATTCGGACTTGTATATTCTCCAAAATCTAATACGCATGGAAAGAACTAGCGTATCAAGTGCGAAATAATATTAAGATACCTTAGATATGGTAGTATTAAATCCTAAACGTTAGCTTTTAATGTTCATTGAATTTCATCGCATCCTTTGGACCAATTTAAGGGAGACAAACTCAAGGTATTCACAATATCATTTCCACCTATTACTCAAAATTATAGCGTAACATTTTATAGCCAATTACCCTCAATCTCAAGCTTATTTCTAAAGGGTTTCTTCGATGGTAGTGCCATAAAACTTTCATACTTTGACCTAGCCCTCCAAATCTTGATATTTTGATATGAGTCCCCCAAATCTGCCTATTTTGAAATTAGTCCCCCAACTCGCTTAGCTCTACTGACATTAGCAGCAGCTTGAAGAGATTTGGGGGACTAATTTCAAAATATGGAGATTTGGGGGGCTAATTTCAAAATATGAAGATTTAGGGCTCTTATTTCAAAATACTAAGATATAACGCTCCGTTTGGCAAATAGTTAAGGAAGAAAGGTTAAAGTGAATGATTAATGTACTTAGCATATTCGATAATCTGAATGACTAAATTATTAACTCGTTAAATAAGTTTTATTTTAGCCTGGGAATAACAATGACTTTGACCATTTTTTATAATTAGAAGGGTTAACTATTAATCTTTCTAGTTAACCCTTCTAAATAGGAGTATTAGTAAACCCCTCATTTTGAGGGGTAGCTTATTTTAATCCCTCTAGAGGGGTTAGCTTAACTCTTTTATATTTTTTTATGTTTGGCAAATTATGAAAAATTAACTCACTTTAACCATTATATAGATTTTTTGTGTTAGGCGGGTTAAGATGGGGTTAAGTCTCCTTTAACCCCTCACTTAATCTTTTGCCAAGGAACTAATTTCAAGATATGAAAATCCTTCAGGACTAATAAAAAACCATTTCTAAATTACTTGCAAGGCAAAGAGTCAGATTAATATAACAATTGGTAAGGGCCTACAAAGCCGATGACGCTCGACACAGAGATGCAAACAAACCAGCAAACTAACAAACTTTCTTTCCCTTCAGAATTATCAAAGTTACATTATGGCATTATATGCCTCAACAATATTCATAAACCAAGAACGAAAAAAGCCCGCATATGACAATAAATCTAATACCCTAAACCACAGACAAACCCATTATTATTAATCCCACACAGTTTCCTTCCTTTCACCAAAAATCTGATGAAAATTACACCCGATTTCAATCATAACATCTTAATCTTCACTTGGCGCTTGCAAGCTGGGTTCGAAGCTGCTTAGCAGCAGCAACCATGTTGGTGAGTGCAGGCTTAACCTCACCGTACTTGCGGGTCTTCAGACCACAGTCAGGGTTAACCCAGAGAATGTTGGTCTCGAGAACTGCAAGCATTTTGTTGATGCGGTCAGCGATTTCCTCTGTGGACGGGATTCTAGGGGAGTGGATGTCGTAGACTCCTGGGCCGATTCCAGCGCCGTACTTCACTCCATCACGGAAAACGGAGAGGAGCTTTTCATCGGATCGGGAGTTCTCGATGGTGATGACGTCAGCATCCATGTTGATGATGGAGTGGATGATGTCGTTGAAATTGGAGTAGCACATGTGGGTGTGGATCTGTGAGGAGTCGATCGTCAAAATATTAGCGGAGAGTTAATCACGTAATCATAGACTATGTTGAACCAAGTAAAATACATGAGATATAAATTTAGTAGAACTATGCAAAGAAATGAATATATATCACGTATTGCTGGTTAAGAAATAGGAGGATGCTTCATCAAATAATATGCTTCACTACTTAGAACAGCTATTCGTCAAGATTACTAGATTAAGAATAACAAGCTGCATCAAATCAAAGTAGAAGCGTTAAGATAGAGTATTGGTGGAGTTCCAAGTTATCATAAAACACCTATGAAATTGGAGGAGAAATTCTATTAACGATTCCCTCAAAAAAGGAAAAAAAGCTATAAGATCAATATTGTTATATGGATAGGAATTTTGGACAATTAAGAAACAATATATGTAAAAAATAAGCATAGCAAAAAATGAGAACGTTACAGTGGAAGTATGCATATACACTAAGAGATATGACGAGGAAAAAATGTGTTTGTAGGAACTCGTACTCATTTTGAATAAAATGACGGAATTGAATGATATTGTTTAAAAATGTGCCATGAATGCAACTACATGCACTAATTAGGAGTGCAACTACACAATTATCATTAACAGAGTAGGAAAGACTAAAGCTTAAAAGGAACTTGACTGGAAGCAATTAAAAAATATAATGATGGTTAACTTAATAGAGGAGATGGCCCTTAACATAACTGAATGGAAGAAGATTCATGTAAGTGATCCTAAAAATTTGCAAAGACTTTTTTATAGTCGTTATTGTTGTTATATATCATATAGCCTATAGTTTAGGTATGGGAAGGACCTGAGTTGTGTCCTGGACACCGCAATTGGTGATTCTGAAGGAGTGAACAGCCCAATCCTGGTAGAAAGCCTGCTCAGACTTACGAAGAGGCAAACCTTCCCTAAGAGCTGCTTCATCAATTTGGATGACCTTCACAAAAACCACAAAACAATAGGTGAGATTTCCATTCAACATTTTCAATACTTAAGAACCGAAACAGCTATTTTGAAAAAGAAAGCCTACCGTAATACCAGCAGCTTCCAAGTCCTCGACTTCCTTCTTAATGGCAAGAGCAATCTGATAACAAGTCTCAAACCTCGGTTGGTCATTTCTAACAAAAGACCAGTTGAGGATGGTAACCGGGCCAGTCAACATTCCCTTCATTGGGCGAGCAGTCATGCTCTGGGCCATTGACGACCAGAAAACAGTCATGGCCTTGGGGCGACTTACATCACCGTAAATGATGGGAGGCTTGACACATCGTGAACCATAAGATTGGACCCATCCGTTGACAGTGAAGGCAAAACCTTGCAACTGCTCACCAAAGTATTCAACCATATCGTTTCTCTGTGCAAAAAGGAAAGTTTAGGTTAATATAAAAACAACTGCTATTTCTTCACAATTACATGGGAGAATTATTTAACCATTAGCTCACCTCAGGCTCTCCATGAACAAGCACATCAATGTCAAGTTCTTCCTGGAGCTTGACAACCTTGTTTATTTCCTCCTTAATGGCGCTAACGTACTCCTCCTCAGAAATCCTGCAATGAGGTGAAATGACGAATATAATCTCCTACATTAGTATATGTTAATAAAACAAATTCGAAGCAAATATTGAAAAGGACATACTTTTTTGCTTTGTACTCACGGCGAACTCTTCGGAGCTCCACAGTCTGGGGGAATGACCCAATGGTGGTGGTAGGGAGAACTGGAAGGTTCAGCTTCTTCTGCTGAGCATCTAGCCTGGTGCTAACATTTGTTGCACGACGGTGGTCTGAGCCCTTAAGTGCAGCAGCCTAAGAAAAGAACGAGGCAGTTGGGCTGGTAAATAAAGTCTCTTTGTTGAAATTCAAGAAAATTTACGGGTATGAAGTTCTACTTACAGCCTTCTGTACTTCTTCATTGGTCACCCTAGGAGATGATTTCCTTGAAGCCTGGGCAGCAGCATTCGCTGAGAAGAAAGCCTGTGGATAGCAACAGTATTAACTGTCAATGGAATTTCAATTTATGCTGACCATTTATTTTATTATATACTAATATTTCACATAGAGGGTTGTTTTGGAAGAATGACCATACCTCATCCTTTGAACCAGCCAATGCCTTAGCCAAGGCATTAACTTCAACAACCTTCTGAGCAGCAAAAGCCAACCATGACTTGATCTCATCATCCAACTTTGTCTCATTCACAAGATCAACAGCAGTGTGCATGAGCGAGCAAGAGGTCGAGACCACAAGCTTGTCTGTTAAAGAAATCAAAACAAAAAAATTCAGCAATTCCATAAATTTTCACTGCATAAAAGAAATGGCATGGACGCAGATATATACCTTTGCCCACAATGGACTCAAGAGACTGAAGAGTAGCAAGGGATGCAGCAAGATCATTGGCCCAAATGTTTCTCCCATCCACAACTCCAGCAAAAAGGTACTTTCCAGAGGGAAAGCTGCTTTTAACCAAGTCAAGGGTCTTGGTTCCACGGACAAGATCGAAACCATAACCTGAGATGCTATTCAAGGCAGTGATGGTCCTGAAATAGGCAAGAGAATGTAAATTATAAGTAAGCTACTATTTGGAAATTTACACATATTTATACAGCATGAAGGCAAAGCAACTGACTTGTATGCTTCCTCAGGGACATCAGCAAAGTATGTCTCGACAACAACATTCAAACCAGAAAGCGTTGATTCTAGATCTGAGTATGCTTTAGTGAATGCCTCCAACTGGTGAGCACCAAGATCCAAAACAAGGGTAGGCTCATCAAACTGAATCCATGAAGCACCGGCTGCCTTCAACTCAGCAATAACTTCCCTGTACACGATTATATTATAAGCCTTGAGAAATTCTAGGTGATAAAGAGCACTTAAAGGGAAATTGGCACTATCCAATAAGCATCTTGGTATTTCCTTACTTGTAGACAGGAAGAATGCTCTCGAGAAGTGACAGAGGAGAGAAAGACTTCTCTGTTCCCTTGGCAGGCTTTGCGAGCAACAGGTAAGTCACGGGTCCAACAAGCACTGGAACAGTGTCAACTCCTTGCTGAAACAAATAATTTGGAGCAATGAGCTAAATGAATTTAATGAAACAAGAACTTGAGAGCGTAGCTTGCTCGGTAAGAAAATTCAGGAGACAAAGGGTAAGTGTCTAGGGTACAGTTACAGAACTAAAGGTTATATGCAAAATATCAAATCTAGTCCACCACACGCATTTAAAAGGTTTGAGATCTTTCCATCATTTACCAGGTTTCAGTTTTATTTTTCAAACACGTAATCAGACTCAACAACAATGAAAGGGAAATGTACAGTTTCAAATTTCTTAAAATACAAAAGATGGCCTTGGTTGTCTTTCTTCTTTAAAGAAAGAAGGGAAATGAGGAAAGTAATATGCTTGCTTAGAGAAGCCAGGTTTTCTTATGAATATCCAGAGCCAGCTGTTGACTTCATAGATGGATATTTGAGAAGTAACAATTACTTCAGTTGTAATCTTGATTTCTTTGCTTTGCTCAAAAACTCCTTACTTCTTTTGCAGATAATCAGATGTGATGTTTTAATATAAGCATGGTGTTTATAGTTTTATTGAAAGGATATATTATCTACAGAATTGAACAAAATATATGAAGGCTTGATTGGCTTATGATCCAACATTAACATAAAGATCAAGGGATCCACAAAATATCACTAGAAATTTGTTGCATCTTGAATGTAATAATAATTCAAAAATCATGCTACACGTGTCCTGCAAAGAGACGACTAATGTCTAAGATGCGGAATAGGTTATGAAGGTAATAATTATATACAGTTGGGAAGGCATGATGCTCTATACCAAGTTTTAGATAAAACTGACATATTAAGATACTTGCTCATAACAACAGAAAATGGTTACAAGTCCATACCGCCTTGGCTTCCTTGTACTCATTCACTGCCTTGTGAGATGAATAGGAAAACTTTGTGTTGGGGCCCAACTCGGGGACGATGAAATGGCTGGAATCACAAATATACACACAAAACGTTAGTCCATAATCCCAGTCATACAAGAACATATCCATCATAAATCTGGAAAAAAAAGAAGATCATATATGCAAAGAGGTTCATGAGGGGTTAGGATTGCTTACTAGTTAGTGTCAAACCACTTGGTCATTTCCATAGCTGGGACTGTGGCATTTCCCCTAGCCATAGAGAAGAAGGTGTCAAAACCAATTTCCCCACCATTCCAGCCATATCTATCAGGAACAGCACCGAGCATGGCAGTTGTGTCGAGCATCTGATCATAATACGAAAAGGTGTTGCTAGGAATGTATTTGATGCCAGCATCAGCCATTTGCTTCCAAATGGATGACCTGAGATCCGCAGCAACCTTCTGCAAGTCCTCAGCAGAGCTCTTGCCATCCCAGAAAGACTCAAGAGCAAACTTGAGCTCTCTCTTTGGGCCCATGCGTGGATATCCAACAATGTGTGATGCCATCTTTCTAGTAACAGATAAAAAAATTAGATATCCAACGTTGTAGTATTATCAAACATAACTAACGGAAATTATGCACAAACACAAAATAAATAAATAAGACAATGGAGAAAACAGTAGGTGTTTAAATTGCACGACTCAACGAAATAGTTCAATATTGTCATTTGGAAATCAGTAAACCGGGAAGGGAAATTGGGAAATTAAGTCATTTGGAAATCAGTAAACCGGGAAGGGAAATTGGGAAATTAAGTCATTTGGAAATCAGTAAACCGGGAAGGGAAATTGGGAAATTAAGTCATTTGGAAATCAGTAAACCGGGAAGGGAAATTGGGAAATTAAGTCATTTGGAAATCAGTAAACCGGGAAGGGAAATTGGGAAATTAAGGCAGATAGTTATCATCTTATTACCAGAATAAGCAAATCAGATCAAGTAATATAAATCTTTGCAAGTTTTAAAATTTTAATTAATCTACTAATATCACAGATCCCAGTTATAAATGTAAGAACTTGCACCTTTAAAGTTATACTACATGCCTCCATCTATTAATCATCTACATTTTGCACATGGGTGCATTATTCTTTCATATACAGCACCAACCTGTGCTAGTTACCACTCAAATTTATGAACAGAACATACAATTTAATGTCAAAATGTTGTATAGAACATTTGTCAAGGTTGCCAATCATTAATCATTTCCTTTAAAATTAATTTGTTTCCAAAGAAGAGGAACACCCAGACTCAAATTATACAGTTCTCATCCACCATCTATCAGCTCGAGCCGTTTTGCTCTCCTCTAAGTATTTAAATGGATTAATTCTGCGCTGTCGTGACAAAATTTAATTTGTAACGTGCAAATTACCTCATATATCCTAGTTATCATTGTTCTAAGTATTAATCTATTAGATGGATAGGACACTGTCAACTATTATCAGATAGACCATTTCCAAGTTGGAGTAGAGTTTTCATTGAAGTCAATAAGCAAATAATCACTTGATCCATCTCTTGGATGAGTTTCAAACTAACTAATCAGAGCATCGGTTTAATCTAACATGGTAGGCTGCAAAAGTTCTTTAACCGCTACTATGTACACTGAAATGCACAAATACCTAAATTTTATTAACTTCGGAGAGGAAATAAGCTAGTCGTCAGGTTTACCACATTCCAGAATCATGAATCAATTCTGAAAATGACAGATCCTAATGGAGTAGTAAATAATGATTCTTGAAACCAGACCAACAAATGTAGGGGGGGAAAGTACAAATTTCTTAATGAAAAACTTGAATAGAATGAAATAGAAAAGAACAAACTTTTGGGTTAATTATAATTAATAACTGTACCAAACAAAGTTTAGCAGCAGATAATCATATTTCTAATTAGGCGCCAGAAAATATTCACGAATAAAATCAAATTTAAGTAGAGAGATCTCCACTCCGCCTACTTCAAATATATCTCAGACTCACTTGACCTACTTCAGATCTATACCGTATCCACTTAAATAATACACAGATCTGATCATATTTCCGTCAAATACCGAAATGAGATGCAAGGATCTGGAGATTTATCGAGCTTCATGAGATCAGATCCAAAGATCCGCGCTCGTAAGGTACCAGATCTAAAATCAAGATCCAAAAATAAACAGATCCAAGTAAAACAAGAAACCTAACTCACCAGTAGCACGCAAGATCAAGCACGACTAAAGGAAAAACCCTAGATCCGATGGAAACTAACCAAAATTATTGAGAAAGAGAAGTAAAGAACAGGAAACGAGAGATCAAGACAGAGGAGAATCTTAAAATAAAGGGATCGAGTGGAGAGGAGAGAATGAAGGAAGCGGAGCTCACCTTGGTGGTGGAGAGTAGAACTCGGTCGCTGGTAGAGTCCTTCGAGGGAGAGGGAAATCGGGCGTAAGACTCGAAAGAGGCGCGAATTGGAGAGGGGAGGGGGTAGGATTATTTATAGAGGAGTGAGGGGTCACCACACCCAGATCTGGTAGCTGATCAGGGATTACTGAGAGTGAGAAAATGTTAATTTGTATTTTGGGTAAATTTCCAAAAAAACCCTTACCTTTTCATTTTTTAAATAGCGCCCTTTGCTATTTTTAATTCCCCAAATTCCGGGGATTTTGCATATAACGCCCGGAACTTATTCTACTCCACTAAGTTCGCTGAAGATTGCTATGTAACACCATCAAATTCTAATTTGTCACACGCTAGACACGTGATGAAGAAAGTATGAAAATATCCCAGACTTGAAAATAAATATGAGTAGAAGAATGTTAGGGGGTTTTGTGTGAAACCCCTCGAGTTACAGGGGTTTAGAGATAAATTATTCATAGGGTGATCATAGATATGCCAAACTTACAGAGTTTTTGTGAAATTTACCTTTATTTTCCCCCTTAACTGATTAAATTTCTTTTCCGATATGAAGCTGTTTTTCAGACCTACCTTATATATAGCAGCATTTAAGCCATAAAAACTAAAACCTAGTCACTTTGTATGACTAATAGGGAAAAAAATTAGGCAAAGGTTAGTGGATGTCTCTAATGCATCCAGCAAATATTATTTGGATGCTTTCGGTTTGAACGTCATCATTAGGGGTTTCTTACCATTACCTTATCCATCAACCTAAGTTCTTTTTACAAACTCTCATTAAATCTTACTGATGTGACGATGAGATGACCCTGCTATGTTACTAAAAACAAATTAGTGAAAGTCTAAGTTTATTTATTCACACAAAAAATAGTGAATTTATAAGTTTGTATTGAACTTGGACTTTTGCTAACCAATTTTTTGGGACATAATAATAACATGTCCGGATCATGTCAGCAAGATGTGACAGAAGTTTATAAAAAATAACCTACGTTGAAAACTGGGGATAATGTTAGATCCTCCATTGATGACATCTAAATGTTAAGAACCCAAAAAAAATTTGTCAAACACGGAGGAACCTCTGCTAATGTTTTGGCTTAAAAAAATTTATAGAACACTTGTTTTTTTGGGTGGGTGGGCTTGTTTGTTTTTTTTCCTTTTTTTTTAAAGTTTGGGGGGTGTTGAGGGTGGGGGATGGGCATGAGTAACAATCCAAAAGTTTTGTGGCGTTTTGTAAAATCATGTAAAACAAGTTTTGTGCAATTATTTTCCGGTGTAATGGATTTATCGGTGATCCACTCAAATTTAAGTTTTTTAGAGCATCTCCAACAATCTCCTGGTAGGGAGCTCTTGTTGGAGTGCTCTCAAGCATGGGGCCCACTTAGAAGCTCCCTACAAGGAGAAATATTCTAACAAACTCCCAACCAAAAACTCAAATATTATTTAAAAAATACATTCTCCTAAAAATAATATTTTATAAATGTATTTTAAAATAATAAATTTAATAAAAAATAAATTTTAGTGGGTCCTCATCCCCTTAGGAGCTCCCAAGTATTCCACAAATTTATGGAGTTCTCCCATAGGAGGATGCTTGAGGGGTCTAACTATTCACACTCCCAAACAGTAACTTTGGGGGTGTGTGAGGACTAAATTGCCCTTCTCTCACCGGACAGCCAATCCGATGGGTAATTAATTTTTCTGTCTTTTTTTGTGTCCCACCGTGCTGATTTTTTATGAAAACTATTAATGATTTTTATTTGTTAAAAATGTTTGAAGTGTTATTAAAAAAAATTAAATTTTTTTGAGAACATATATAAATGTTGGTTTAATTTTAATATAATTTGAATTTTTAAAATCGTTAATAAAATTTGTTTAAGTGTTTGAAATGTTTGAAGTGTTAGACTATAATGAAGGATAATAATAAAATTTATTAGAAAATCAAAGTATTAATCTACTCAACGAAATACATCAATTGTTTTTTCGATCCTAATTAATTGTTCTTTCTCCGGTGGCAACAAAAGGGCATTTTCGGCAATCCAACTCCCAAAATTACTGTTTGGGAGTGGATATAGCGAACGTGATGCTTGAGATATTTCTTAAAATATTTCTTAAAGACTTAAAACTGAGATTCGTATCTTTATTTTTACCGTATAGCGACCTGGGGGTAGGTGGACCGTGGACGAGTGGGCGCTTGAGTTGGTGGGGACTAGTTACGTTGCATTTCTTCTTCTTTTTATTTTGGATAAATTTTATTTTGCGGTTTCCATTTTGACAATGTTAATCTTCTAAACAATTTACATTTTAAGATTAGGCTTTTTTAAATATTAGTCCCCCACATCTTCAATATGTTGAAAGTAGTCACGCAAATCTTTATATTTTCAAATTAGTCCCCCAAATCTTCATATTTTGCATTTAGTCCCCTAAACTTTTTAAGTATTTGGAAATTTGCCCCTCTTGTCAACAGTAGATTAAAAGATTTGGGCGACTGTTTTTAAGATGTGAAAATTTAAGGGGCTATTCAAAATATTAAAGATGTGGGAGACGAAAAAAACCCTTAAAGATTCATGCGAGCACAAAAATAGCAAGCCGACTTGACTAAAGGTTGTATCCTTATCATTAGTGCTAGGGTTAGTGCGATTATGTGGCCTCCACTTTATGCTTGCCTCCATCATGACACGTAATTAACTTCTCATATTCGTAGCTCTCAGCCTCTCACTAAAAGACTAAAAGTTTAGCGGTGTTAATTATCAGGCTCTAAATTGTTATGATAAATATTTTTGGTTTGGATTCATGAAATAGACTCAAGCTGGTGAGACGTTTTAGATTACAAATTATTGAGGCTAAATGTCACAAACCCCCTTAACTTCGGATTATTATCAGAAAATCCCCCTTAACTTTCAAAATATCAGAAAATCACTTTTAAGTATAGAGATTATCACAAAACCACCCCCTAACATTCAGATTTTATCAGAAGACCCTCTAAATTTGGGGGTTTTTCTGATAAATCTCAAAGTTAAAGAGAGTTTTTTAATAACCCCTAAACTTAAAAGGGGTTTTATGATATTTTAAAAGTTAAAGGGGGGTTTTCTAATAAACATTCAAAGTTAAGAGGAGTTTTATGATATTTAGCCAATTATCTGACCCTTAAAAAATACAAAAAATGAACACGTGAATTTGGATCCGTAAATTGTTTTATTTGTAACCACCTAAGAGATGATGGAAAGTGACAAAAAAACCTAGGAAGCAATAACATGTTGAAATGTGGTTTCGACGGAGTTTACAAAGGTACTTTGATCCGGGGAAACGTCATAGCATTTCGGGGTGCATTCGGTCTGGATATGGCTCGGATTTGATGCTTACCATATTTATATCTGCTTACTCATCTCGAATACGGTTACGGATACATGTACAGGTACAGATACGGATATAGATATACCTTGATAAGGGAAATTCATATTCATATCCATAAAATCGAATACGGTTATGGATATAGATAAAGATATATAAGTGGATATGCATGCGGATACAAAACGGATATGAGAAAATTAGATAATATTGAGAAAAATATAGTTCATGCGATACAAAAGGGGTTGTTAATATGTTCATTATAACTTAAAAGCTAAGATTAGACATCTTGATCATCAAACTTAACCACAAATCCGTAATTTAAGAATCGAAACTATCGTAAGAATACGACTAATATGTATTCAGATATTTCGGATACAGATTCGGATATCTCACTACAAAATCATATCCGTAATCATATCATATCGGTTATAGATTTGAGTAATCATATCACATTTCCTCGGATACGGATACGGTTTAACACCCCTAATTCGTATCATTTTACCACAAAACCCAGAATTTTGGAATTGGCTGTCTTCTGCTTTCGCTCTATTTATTTTCGATCTGTTGGAAAAGTTAGAAAGGATATTCAAATTGGGAAATGTTTTCTATAGCTTATACGGGATTAATTCCAAGGTGCCGACTGTCGATAGTAGTATAAAGTATAAACACAACATATTTAGCAGGAGATGAGGTAGCCTGAAGAAAAAAAGATCATTTACTGCTTGTTTGAATTCACCTTCCAATTCGGAATCCGAATCTTTTCTGATCACGTGGTAACTAGATATTGACCTAATTATATAATTCAAAATGCTTAGTAACCATATTGATCAGCACGTGAACTCATCACCGACGGATCTGCCGACAAAATTCAATGTTAAAGCCTTAAAGGTCGATGTTGGCTCAATCCCTCAGTTCGCTATGCGCACCGACACTCTACGCAGCTTGATCTGCCCCTTCGAGCCAAGGCAAATGGCACCAAAATATATTCAGCTGGCTCGCAAAGTACGCTGTAGTAGTTTATATTAATTTGGTACCCTCTTACTCATATTTTCTTGGGTGTTTCCGATGTAAGTCCCTTAACTCTTTAATATTTTGACAGTAACCCCTCAAATCACTGAAATTGCTATTTTGTCTTCCCAGTTCTCATAATTTTTCTCGAAATCAGATTGTCAAATCATTAAAATTGGTGTTAGGTCTCTCAATTCTTATAACTATCTCAAATTAATCTCTCCAATCAATGATTTACGTGTCTATTTTCAAGATATTGGCGACCTTAAGCATTTGATGGTAGGATCACAGAATGATTACATTGGACTCAAAACACCTAGTGTAAACAGATAATAAACAAATTGATGCCATGCGCCTAGTATAAACAGAAAATAAACAAATATCGTAATAAGTGATAAAAGATCAACCTCTCCTTTTATACTCCTGTTCAACGTACAGTTTATTTAACGCCGCAGCTAATGTTGAAGTTCCCTAACTAAATTTTCCCCGTCGTCCAAAGAATGTGACAATTTTGTTATTTCCAATCTAGTCTAATTCAAAATTTCAAGTAACAAATGCACATCTGTTATGAAGGGAAAGTATCAAATGGTCCCGGGTGCATGACATTAAATGTAGATCAAATGGATATGTTGATTGTTAGATCGTTAGACATCGAGGTTCGTGCACAGATCTAATGGTAGTCATCCATTTGATACACATTAAATGTTATGAACCGTCCTCACTAGATATTTTCTCGTTGCGGAAAGGTGTATGCTTCCCC